TTGGCATTTTGAGTACTGCTCCAACAGACACAGAACTACAGACATCTCTTCAATGCACTTACTTCATTTCTTTTGGCTGCATAACTAGTAGTAGGATTACTACATCGTACAATACTGCTACTTTTGATTTTTTTTGAAGACCCGAAGTAGCACTTTCCATAATCCCTGCACTTGTTTACATTCCTTGTAGAAGTGAGCTTTGCACCACAGCACTTCTGCATAATATAAGGTACTGCTGATGACTTTAAAATGAATTTTGAAACCTGTTCATTGTATATAGGTAAATACACTCAGGCAGTTTTAATTTTTCTCATTCTCTTTGTTACTAATCTATAGTTTTTAATAGGAAATGGAGGGAAAAATACTGTTATCATGTAAACCATATTCACATTAGAAATCATATGCATCTGTTTTACATTTCAACATGTTTTCTGAAGTCACATATATAGATGGTCTAATAACTACCTTGAAGATGAAATGACATACATCAGGCAATACTTTTGTTATAAATATCAAATCATGCCTGTCAGTCTGGATAAGAATTGCCAAAGAACATTCTTTTAATTTGTCTGGTCTTTTCTGCTCTTTTTACCATCCCTCAACTACTAGTAGGCTAGGTAAGAAATACATAAAACTCATTACTGAAAACCCTGCCCTCAAACTAAAAATATCACAATATTTAAGAAAGTTTGAAGTAGCATTATGCATGTAAATCACTGAGAAAAAAATTGTTGATCATCAAGGCACATTTTAATTTTTAAGACTGACTTTCCTCCAAATATCTACTTATAAAGGATGGTATCTCTCTCCCCCATACCAAGTGGATCTTAACAAGTGGATCTTAATTAATTAAGAAAAATGGGCATAAATTTAAGGAAAATGAAGTCTCTTTGAGTTTACAAAATGTCCAGGTGTGGTGGCGCGCGCTTTTAATCCCAGCACTTGGGAGGCAGAGGCAGATGGATCTCTATGAGTTCAAGGCCAGCCTGGTCTACATAGTGAGTTCCAGGACAGCTGGGGCAACAGGGAGACCCTGCCTCAAAAAAAAAAAACAAAAACAAGGTACTTTTAAAGAAATTTTGTTTTGGGAGCTGGAGAAATGACTCAGTGGTTAAGAACACTTGCTGTTCTTCCAGAAGACCTGGGTTCCATTCCCAGCACCCACATGACAGCTAACAACAGTCTGTAACTCCAGTTCCAGGGGATCTGACGCCCTCCCCCACAAAAAAAAAAAAAAAAAAAAAAAAAAAAAACCTGCTAAACTGAGAAAACCTCAGTATGTCAAAAACTATGTCATAAACCTCTAGAAAAAGGCCCAATATTAGTTTCATGATTTTCCTTTATACAGATGTATGTATAGGTTTGAATATGTTGAAGTCTTTTTCTACTTACCTTTTTTTTGGCAGGGTGAGGGGTTCTTTTGGTACAAGTTTTCCCTGTAGCCCCAGCTGGCCTGTAACAAACTATGGCTATCAGGCTGGCCCAGATCTTACAGAGATCTGCCTGCCTCTGTCTCTAGACTGCTGGGATTAAAGGAGTGCACCACTACACCCAGCTTATTTAGCATTTTACAGAATGCAAGTGACTTCCTTTTCTTTGTATTCACATCCACATTCCTTAAAACAGTTTAATCCAGCTTTTGAAGGCTGGACTGTATATAATCTATGATTATGAATATGGATTCAAAGCCCAGCATGTTTTCTAGTCAGTTATGCTATCTTTGGCAGGTCCTTTACCATTTTAAGCTATAGCTCCTCATTCATCATACTGTATGAGGTTAAGAGCATCAGTAATGCTGTAGAGGCTAATGGTGATATATCTCACAGGACCCATGAGAGGGATGCATGTGATAATGCACATGAATAGCTCAGCAAGGGGTGGAGGATGTGCTCTGTGGTTGGCAATATGCAGGAAGGCTGGGACTCAACCTCTAGCCCTGGAAAGGAAGAGGGTGGGGGAGGGGGTGCTGCTTAAAAGTTCTAAGAATTTCTTGAAGTAGATCTTTTAACAAACATTTATTGAACACCTACTCTGGTCTAGCACTCTTCTAGGTAATGGAGATACAAGAGTGCTAAATCAAATGCAATCATGGCCATAAAGAACTTGCATTTCACCAGGGTGAGATAAACAATTAAAATAAATGACATAATAGAAAGGTTTGTAAGCATAACCTTGAAAAGTTAACCAAAGAGAAATTAAGAAAAGGAATGAGGGAGCATAAGATGAGAATATCCTATTCATACATGGCAGAGAAGGACTCTCTGATGAAGTGATACTTGAGAAGAGCCTGAACTAAGGAAAGAACAGGCCATGGAAGCCCACTGTGTTTGTTGCTTCAGGATGGTGATAATGGGTGATCAGTTACTTCTGCTTACAATACTTGTTATCTCCTCTATCTCTACAAGGGCTTTGAAAGACAGTATAGGAAAGAAATCAGTCAGTAGGTGAGGAACAGATGGGTAAATTGCCTCTTCATTAATAGCATTAATGAAGAAAATTAAGTGAAAATTAAGTAATTCCTTCACTCTGATTGTCTAGTTTTTTGGCATTTATGAGAGAATACCCATAAGGAATAAAGATAGGCTACATTAGCCACTATAGGCATTATCATAACAAAATTATATTTTCATGAGTAAGAAATAGTAAATGGGAAACAAAAATTACACTAAAAGCAAAATAACATTCTTTATGTGGGCTAAAAATGAAGTCTAGAAACATGAAAATTAGATATTTTATAGCATATTATATAGCCAATCTATTAACTTCCTACATAAAATAAATCAAGAAATAGATTCAGTAATAGGAGTTCAAATAACTTTCAGAGGAAAATACATGACAGATAATGCCTCCATAACAGAATCTATATCAATTTGTGCTCCACTCATAATTGAAAATTAACTTTCATAACCTCTATATTAACAATTATCTTTTAAAAGAGTAACATGATTCTTTAAATCAATGTGTAATGATGTTTATAATAAACAATAATGATGTACATATTTCAAATACCAGGACTTTAAATCAGGTGAATAGGCAGATAAGCTTTAAATTTTTACCTCATAAAACAATCATATACAGCTCTTTTATCTTCTGTAGCTTCCAACACATATTTATTTTCATATTTAGTGCTCTAAAATTATGAGATAATCAACTTCCCAGTATCGGAGGTTGGACAGAAAGGTAATAATTGACCACATAATAGTCTAAAGAATCCAATCCATTATGTAAGTTCATCTCATGGAAGATTTTATATAGTGAGATATATTTTATTTACAGTTACATATTCCTACCCAGAGCTAGATAGGCATTATTATTTCTATTATGGCTTTGATTTCTAATGGGATCTGACTAAGCTTATACATAACACAAATATTTGGTTGGTTTGGGAGACCAGGCAGCAAGATATCTGAAAACAGAATTTATTTTTTATTAATATATCATGGGTAAAATGTATGGTACCACATTGAGTCTGATTCATACTAGGAGATAGTAGAATTGAGTTCATACTTCTAAATGTATAATTAAGTACACAGAACTCGTCATTTAAGTGAGAGGGAAGGATGAAGAAGGAAATGTCAAAGAGACCCCAGGTTTGTGGGTTTGGGGAAGCTGTTTGTTATATGATGGTACAACCCACTAAATAAGGAAGAGCAAATTGTGAAATCACATGTTTTAAACTGAATTTAAAGTGAAAAGAGGGAAAAGTTTGCATTATATGAAGTATAGAGCTGAGTCAGAACTGAAAATTTGCTATTTATAAATTTATAAATAGTAAATAAAGCCATGAGATCATTTTGCCTAAGTGGGGGAAAGATCTTTAGGACTGAAAAACAATAGGAGCAAATATTGGTGGACTTTTATCATTTCTTTCCATTTTGCCATAGAAAAATAGTGACAACCTGCTTTAGACTACAGAATTTCTATCAGGTGTTCTTTGGTGAAGGAGGAACAAAATGAATGGAAAAAAAATTAACAATGGATGAGCTATTCCAGAAAATTGTATTAGAAACCCTATTCCTTAACTACGAAGTTGGAATATTTAGAGACTCTCAGAATCTTTGTGAGGAAGGGATCAGAGCTCAGTCATTCTACAGAATTTTAGTGATACAATAAAAGAACAAATACGGACATTATTTTCTAGAAAAATAATGGGAAAAATAGAATAATTTTAAAAAACTTTTCAATTGTACCAGCATGCTCAAGGCTATCAACTTCAAACTGGAAGCTGTAACTAGATCAATATTTATAAAATTGACAAATATTACCTAAAAATTTTTATGTCTTTCCTATTTCTGCATTGTTCTGTCACACAGTCCCCGGAGGAAGTACTCTTACAGGCCCAGATCCAATTCCTACCACACTGCAGGTACTGAAAAGCTAAATGGATTCTTTGTTGTTCCGTTGTCCAGGCCCCAAAGGTGCTGTGTGCAACACATAAACATTCCTTAGGCCCATTCCTAACCACACAAGTCTCTTCAAGCAAATGAAATAAATGTATTGTGATAGATCTTAGAGGTAAAATGACCTAACATGATCTCTGACCTAACTGTCTGGCTCCTCATAGGAGGATATGATTTTCTGCCTTTGAGAAGAGCTTTAAAGAGTGCCAGACTTAGAGTACTTTGTAAACTTTACACTCAAACGTCAAATTCTGATTTACTTCTAATTGTTAGGCAAGTTATCTGACATGTATATTTTAGACTCTTCAGATAACCAGAACTTTTCAAAGTATGAATCTCAATGTCTTTGAAGATAAACTGGAAAAGAAAGAAAACAAATTAGGTTACTTGTATGCCAGCAAATACTGAGCAGAAAGGCAATGCATCTCAATAAAATTATGGCAATTCACATTTCACCTACATTGGTAGGAGTTACTGGTATTCACAGAACGTTTTTGTTTTTTATTCTACCACATAATCTGAGAATGTTCTTGATTATGCAAAATGTTAACATACCAAATATCCTTGTAAAACAAGGAAACGAAAGTGCAGTCATCCTACCTTAGGAATAGGATTTAGCAGAACCACACCAGATTTCTTAGTGATGACTTGTTTTGTTGAATAGTGATGATCTATAAGTTGAGGAATATTTGAAAACCCAGTGCCCTCAAATCGATAGAGGTTCTAGAGAGAGAACAATAAAATAGTATATAAAAACAGTGTTTCAGAAAGATGACCTTAATCAATAAATTAAGTTCTACTTGAGAAAAACTTTCAGTGCACAACAACATAAATATATTTAACAGCACTCAGCTATACACTTATAGATGGCTAAAAAATAAAAATAAACAGAAAAATAAAACTTCATAATCCACTGCCAAATATTTTGGCAGAAAAATTTTCAAAATAATTAAACTTAAATTGTTATAGTAAAAACAAAAACTAACAAAACTGAATTGCATTTTGCTAAACTGATAATCAAAGAAAACAAGCCAGGTGCCCAATGAAGTTTAGGAACAAGAAATATGACTGCATGTCACCATGTATATTCCATTTAAAGAACTTCCAGTATCAAAATTCAAAAGTTTAAAGAAATATATCTAGTAGATTAATAAATATCTTAATGACCAAACATTTATTCCCTACTCACTAATATAGGTTTTTGTATAGTAAGGTTTCAATGTAGTATTGATTATTAAATAAATAAATAAATAAATAAATAAATAAATAAATAAATAATAAATAAATAAATAAGATCCAAACCTTATCATTCATACACAAGAAGTAAGGAAGAAGAAATAATAAAGTGTACCAGTGATAAAGTCTCAGGGATCAGCAAATTCAGATCTTAGCACTTAAAAAAGATTTTTCATTTTTTATTATTTTTAATTATGTGCACACGTGTATATCTGTGTGTGTATATGCCATGTGCATGTAGATGTCCGGGAGGTCAGAGACGTAGGATAGCCTGGAGCTGGATTTGCAGGTAGTTGTGAATTGCATGATGCAGGTTCAGTCAGGCTGGGAACAGAACTTGGGTCCTTGGCAAAAACAGTCCTACCCACTGAGCTATCTCTCCAACCCTAGATCTTAGCATTTTTTAAATTTCCTATCACCAAACCATGGATAAGTCCTATGCAAGCTCAAACCAGACAAAATTCCAGCATATATAAAGGGAAGTGGCCAACCTATGGAACTTTTGGCAATTGATGACTGCTGGGAGGGGGAAAGACAGTTTCCTACATAGATGGAGGGACGGGAATCTTGGTGGGCCCAGTGGATGGACCTACACTGAAAGGCAATTAGGGGTACAAATCAGACTCTATTAGGTAGATGATAGATGATAGCTAGATAGATAGATGATGATGATGATGATTAGATAGATAGATAGATAGATAGATAGATAGATAGATAGATAGAGCTATCACACATATATATATAACATATATAAGAGTATATTAAATTGGAATATAGACAGTGGGGAGAGGTGTGGATGGGGAGGAATTAAATACCATCAAACTATATTAAATGAAAATCACAAAAATTTGATAAAAAAAATACTTTTCATATCACCAATAAATAGCATTTTCTCATACTCTGCCAAGATGTTTTCCTGTGTGTTCATATTTAAATAGACCAGTGGGTAATAGACCATGTGGTAATTCCCAGAGTTCAACTGTCACACAGGAAGACTATGCAAATATAGATGGAAGTGTGAACTACTTTAAGAAAACTATTGAGAAATAAGAACTTCCCAATTTTATAGCCATGAGGAGTGGTCTGCCAGAGGCTGAGAAGAATGTGGAAAAAAGAAAGAGTTGAACAACAGGTACCAAAGTCCATCTGGAGAGAAGGAATGTGTTCTAGTGTTCCCTAGCTCAGTGCAGTGGCTATCACTCTCAAGAATAACTAACAAAGATGAAGATATGTAAAAGTATAATGCAATATCCAGGTGTGAGGGCACACACTCTGAATCCCAGCACTCAGGAGGCAAAAGCAGGTACATCTCTGTGAGTTCAAGTCTAGCCTGTTCTACATAGTGATTTCCAGGCCAGCTAGCACTACACAGTGAGACCCTATCTAAAAAAACAAAACAAAAAAATGTATAGTGCAATAATAATAATAATAATAATAATAATAATAATAATAATAATAATAATACAATATTGCAACCAAATATGCTGTTCTCCCTTCATCTTCCTTCAATTTTCTCTTAACACGGCATTAGGGCACCCTGTACTATGCTTTACTTAAAATTCTAACTTCCCTCAGCATAAAAGCCAGAGGCCATGAGGTGCTGCATTATACTCTGCTCACTGCTTTCTTTCTCACCTCATCTCTCACTCCTGTGCACTTGTCAGCTTCCACTCACTATTATTTCCTTCTTGTTCTGAAACATGTTAAATATATTCCTTTCTCATAGAGCTAATTTGTAAGACAATCCTGTGAGTACAGCTCCCTTACTGACTTCCCTTCCAAGATTTTATCAAATTCCACTTTTTCAGTTAGGTGAATTCTGGCAACCCCACACTATAGATAATATCCACTTTCTGGCCCCAACTTAATTTCTCACCCCCTTTTCTTTATTGATTTTTCCCCTTAGAACATATCACTGTTATATATTTTTGTCTCTATCAAAACATATATTTTACTTATTTTTAAGATTAATTTTATTTGTATTTATGTTTATGTGTCTATTTGAGTATATGTTGTAGGGGAGAGAGGGTTGTCTACTTAGGCCAGAAGATGGCATCAGATCCCCTGGAGCTGGAATTACAAGTAGTTGTGAGCCACCTGACATGGGTGCTGGGAACTGAACTTTAGTACTTTGGAAAAGCAGCAAGCATTCTTAACTTCTGAGCCATCTCTCTATCCCCAATTTTGATTATTTTTTTTTTTTTTATCTAATGCCCCTCTAGGACATAGGTACATCAAGTAATTGATTTATCGGTATGATATTCCCATGGCCCAGAACAGTCTGTGGTTTATAAGGTCTGTATAAATAGATATAGATGAATAAATAAAGTGAATAGACTATAAAGTGATGTGAAATTAAAGAGATAAATAAGGTAGCTTACAAATGGATACAGGAAGTTCACACACTCAAGCACTTGAGATGAAGTACATTTAATAAAATGTAAGCAATGAGGTAAAGATCACAGAGAATGAAATTTGCCATCAATTCCCATTTGATATCTTATATAAAGTTCTAATATATTGATCTTCTTGACTATAGAACTAGTGAATAAAACAGTAGAGATTTTCAGATTCTCTTTCTTAATTTAAGAATTTGAATTTTGAATTTAAATCAAAATTTGAATTTATTATTTTTTAAAGCAAGTACTCTGATGCCACTGAATTTGGCAAATGTAAAACTGATTACTTTCTTAAACAGAAAGATAGAGTAATGAATGTAAAAACATTAAGCCTTTTTCTATGAAGTATAAGCAAATAAAAGATCAATAACAGAACATACACTAATACTGTTAGGGATTTGTTTCTTCATACTCTCAAGATTCAAAGTACTAGATTTGACCTTGCACAGATTTTTATATATTTCTTCTAACTCAACTGACCAGATTCACATACATAAAGATTCAGCTTTTAAGTTTTCTTCTTGCTTTATGATAATATAACAAAAACTATTAGATTAACTTGTTATAAATTTTTGTTTTGATTTATTTAGAGAGAGAATCTTGCTATGTTGCCCAGGCTGGCCTTGAGGTCCCTGGGCTCAAGAGATCCTCCTTCTTAGCCTCCCACATACTCAGAAGACAGACTAACTTTCAAATAAGAGAATTCTCTCGTGAGTTAAGGTTGATGCTAATGGTCTCTTATATGATTCCAAAGAGCCAATAAAAAATGTATTATATAATACTCATCTAAAAATTTCTACACATATCAATTTGTTATTTGTATTACTTTTTAAAATATCACATATCATCTAATAAGAATTATGAATATAAAATATAGTCTTACTAAATTTTCAAAAGTAAATTAAATACATACATGATTATAATACTTCCAAATATTTGGAATAATTACATGAAACACATAAATAGATATTAATATGAATCATTGGTTCAATGATCTATATTTCCAAATGTTACCAAAAGCATGTATTATTTTGCTGTTAAAATATTTGCTGCATCTAGAATTGACTTCTGTTCTATCACTGTGCTGCTTAGGAATCAATCATGTAGAATATTGAAAAACATAAAAGTCAAGATAGAATTCTGTTGCTATGCACATTTCCAGAGAAATTATTATTCAAATAAGTAAGATAAAGTAGCTGAAGCACATAAAACAGGAAGGGGATTCAGTGAATATATAATTTGAAATGATGTGCCTGAGTAGAACTTGTAGGGCAAACAAAATGAAGAGCCAAATTCAGGATGACAAGCTGGCTTAAGAAAAACATGAAAGAAGAAAAAAAGAAAAAACATTTCTAAAAGGAGCTAAAATGAATAAACTAAATTTTTTAAAAGGCTAAAACTTTATTCTTTTTGGGTAAATACCTAAAAATAAAAGGGTAAAAACATACATTTCTCTTTGTCAAAACTAAGCACTGATAATTTTAAAGTAATTAAGTCAGTATACAGACAGAATTGCTAGGAAGTTAAAAATAATATTAATATGGTTTTGGTATGGCTTATCCTAATTAACTTTCATTATTCTTTAGATGTTGGCTCAGACTTAACTTCCTGAAGTTTCCCTGCTAAAAGTTTTATTAACATGATGTATCTTTTCTTTGTAGCACTTATTATACTTTATAATTATGATAAAGTGTGCATGTTTTTATGAGTGACTGTGATCCTCCTCCCTAAATGTGCCACCATCTTATCCCTGGGCTTTGAATAGTACTCACTTGATTAGCACTTCCTGAGAAATCATATTAATAAGGTTTGGAATGGCTAAGTCTCAACTATATTACGGGTATAGAAAATGATATAAGAGTTTCACTTAAACTTCAAAGTGCTTATTGCTTTCCCCTAATGATGATTGAATGATTGCTGTATAATGGCATAAATAATTCTAACTACACAAGGATACGGCCACAAATTTGGAATTGTTATGCAAGAAAGTATTAGATTTTTTATTGCATCCATTAAGACCCATAGCATGAATTTAAAATGTAGTATAAAGAACCTAGAGATGGTGGTAATGAAACTAAGTAATTCAGA